ACCACTAATTCAGGAGACACGGAGACTTCATCTCAGCAACAATAACAAAACCCCCAAACTTCAGGGGCTAGGGGATATAATTCAGCATCGAGTGCTTGCCTAGAGTGCACAGGGCCTAGGTTGGAGTCCCCACAGAGCATCCCTTCTGCCTAAAATGATCTTCCCCAAATGTGCAAGTAAAATATTCTCTCTCTCTCTCTCTCTCTCTCTCTCTCTCTCTCTCTCTCTCTCTCTCTCTATCTATCTCTTCCCCCCGTCTCCCCCCTCTCTTTTTTTCTTCCTCCTTTTCTTTTAGTTTTTTCAAGCTATCATTTGACCTTTTGTCTGAAGTCATCATTCTAGCCGCTCAGAGGAGAAAGTGCCAGGGGACACATCTTCAGCTGCCCCTTCAGGTGTTCCTTTATTATTACTTAATTTATTAATCATTGCATGGGTATGCATAATGGCCAGAGGAAAACTTTCAAGAGTTGGTTCTATCCGTTAACCAGGTGGGCTCCAGGGGACTGAACTAAGGTCATCAGACTTGGCGGCAAGCACCCTTACTGGCTAGACCATCTCACCAGCTATGCAAGTGATTCCGAAATACACCCAGAAATCTCAGTCTGGTTGGATGGCCAGTGAAGCCTATGTTGGAAGAGAGAGGTAAAGAGAACCACCTTCAGAAATGGATTACTCCCTTTTCTTTCTCAGCCTCCTTTCTTCTTTCAAGTTGCATTGCTGCTTGGCATGTTCACGTATTTCATATGTGTTTATTATGCTGATTATCCAGTTATTGTTGGCTCCATCCCAGTCAGATGGAAGCTCCAGGGAGAAGTGGCCCATGAGTGTGTTTGCACGGACACATGTGCAGGTGACATTCAGTGCTTTCCCACTCCCACCCCCTTTTTTTTTTTTGAGTCAGGGTCTCTTTTATAGCCTTGACTGTTCTGTAACTCACTATGTAGACCAGGGTGGCTTCAAACTCAGAGATCTACCTACCTCTGCCTCACACATGTTTGGTGGCGCACACCTTTAATCCCAGCACTCAGAAGGCAGAAGCAGGCGGATCTCTGTAAGTTCGAGACCAGCCTGGTCTACAAGAGCTAGTTTCAGGACAGGCTCTAAAGCTACAGAGAAACTCTTTCTCGAAAAACCAAACCAAATCAAACCAAACCAAACCAAAAACCAAAAAACACCCCCCTCCCAAGAGGTGTGCACCACCATTCTGGGCTCCACTTTTTTTTTTTTAAAAAAAGATTATTTCTGTTTTATGTATGTGTTTTGCCTGCATATGCACTGTGTATGTGCCACGCCAGCATGGGCCAGAAGAGGGTGTTGTATCCCCTGGAATTGGAGCTACAGATGGTTGGGAACTGCCATGTGGGCACTGTGAACTGAACTTGGGTCCTCTGGAAGAACAGCCTCTTAACTGCAGAGCCATCTCTTTAGCTCCCATTTAGTTTTGAGAAAGAGTCAATCACTGAACCTGGAGCTCACTGATTGGCTAGATCGAGCAAGCTCCAGGAATCCTCCTTCTCTGTCTCCTTAGAACCTACAAGGCTTTTTACATGGGTGCTGGGAATCCAAATTCAGGGCCTCATGCTTATGTGGCAAGAACTTTACCAGCTGAGCCATCTCCCCAGCCCAGGAAATACCTTTTGAATAAATGAAGGGGGCATTTTAGACAATATGGTTTCAAAAGCAAAGCTTTTGCAGAGTCTTATGCTGACTCAAGAGTCACCCCTGAGACTCCCAGAGTCTTTCTGGGACCCCTGTTCCCTGCCCACAACCCCCTGGGGCTCTCCATAGCCTCCCCAGGTCAGTTTGGTCTTTTAAAAAAAATAAATATAAGCTGGGCGGTGGTGGTGCATGCCTTTAATCCCAGCTCTTGGGAGGCAGAGGCAGGCAGGTCTCTGAGTTTGAGGCATGACACGGAGAAATCTTGTCTCAAAAGCCAAAAACAACTACAAAAAGCAAAACAACAACAAAAGACCAACAAACAAACAAAAACCCTTCTAACTTTGTATATCCTTTCATAACAAATCCAGAACAACTTGTATTGTTTTATTACTGCGGTCAAGACAATAGGACACAGGAAAGAAATCTTCCTTTGGGAATTTAATATATATATACAGTGAGAAAAGAAAATACAAAAGAAACATCTTCAACTTTCTTCTGTGGTGTGTTGGCATAAATACACACATACAAGCCTTAGTCACCCGGAGTCACTTGGGTGACTCTGCTTTTGACAAAGTCCCCTCTGTGTTTGCTAGGCTTGTTTTCCCTTAGAAAATTCCCTTAGAACGTGTTTTTTTTGTTTGTTTGTTTGTTTTTTCTTTCTTTTTTATCTCTCTCTCTCTCTCCACCCAGGCAAGAGTTCATCCAGGTGTGTGTGTGAAGTCCTGCACACGCCAAAGATTCAGCTATAAAGCAGGTTCTGTTGTCCGTCTCAGCAGACAGTTCAGTATTTGCACAGTGGAATGACCCCTGCACGGAGGAGGAAGAGGAGGAACAGAGAGGGAAAGACAGAGAGGGGGGAGGGAGGAGACAGAGAGGTAGGTAGTTCAGCTGATTGCTATTTGTTCTGAATGGTGGCCCTGTGATGGGTTGGGAGAAACTGTGTCTCCGCGGTTCTCCCTGCTATCTGTTGACAATTTTCCTGAGATTTTGATTAATTTAATCCCCGATTCAAAGGGCGCTATCAGCCAGCTTTACCTCCAGCACAGCTGGCTCCTGTCTCCTCCTGACTTTGCCCTTTCCTAGCTCCCAGAGTCTTCCTGGGACCCCTGTTCCCTGCCTCCAACCCCTGGGGTTCTCCATAGCCTCCCTCAGGTCCTGTTTTATCTTCTTTCCCTAAGGGAGATGAAGCCTTCCCAGTCAAGCCCTCCCTCCTTAGATTGCTCTTTCTAAACCTCAGTTTACCAATCCATTTGCCTTATACCATAGGAACAAAAGCATTTTAGCCAAATACCCAGCACCACACAGGTGATAAGGAAATCTTGATTGACACGTGGAAGCATCAGCCCAGCCCAGGAAACTCTGTGAAGAAAGAACGCAAACCAACACAGTGTGCGCAGGTTTCAGAGTTTCAAGCCCTTGACGTTAACCTCAAAGGACCTTAGAAATCAGGTATGATTACTACCATAGCAGTTTTATATATCACTGCGGTGCTGATCCTAATCAAGTTATCCGGACTCCAAGAAGTCTACCAAAGGCTTGCCCCCAACAGTGAGTAGAGGGCTCAGACTCTCAACTACATTGTATTCTTATCCACCTGAATTCCACAGCAAACAGGACTAGCTATCTGTACCTTGGGAGGGGAGATGCCACCACCGCTGGGCTCAGAACAGTTTAGTGCACTTTGAGGCAGGTTTCACTAAGGATTTCAATTTCTGCCCACGGATGTTAAAATGGAGAGGGTCTAACCCAGGATGCTCCCTAGAACATGAGTGGGTCCTGAAGGAAAAGAACCATCTGTTAGTTTGTGCTTGGTGGGTAAACAAGGAGCTTGGAGAATGTTGGTATGTAAGGGAGGAACGGGAGAGGCTTCTTCAAATCTTCAAAATGGGCAGTTTCATACAGTGGGTGAATGGAATCCCATAAAGTGGGTGCCTCTCTCCCTCCTTCAGCTGGTGAAGGGATGTTAGGAAGGGCCTGCTAGTGTTGAGGGAACTGTCAGTTTCCTGCCTATATATCTTGGTTCAAATAGGGTTTTGTTAAGAAAAGTTAAGACTGTACCTAACTAAACTCCCTCCCTCTCCTTGTACAGATGACCTCCTGAGTCTCTAGGACTCAAGGTTCTCAGGGTTACTGCAACCATGCCAAACAATCTAAACTGCCAAATGCAGACATTTGCTGGTCCCCAAACAGTATGATCTGGCTACGGGATTCTAGCCAAGGTTGAGGCTTCATGCCTTTACTCCCTGGCTCTTTCTGGAACTGGACATCTTAAAAAACTCTGGACAGCTCTAAAAACTTAACAAGCTTTTATCTATGTGTGCATGCCTGCTTGTCTGTATGTGCATACCATGCCTCTGAGACAAGAAGAGGGTGTCGGGGCCCCTGGAGTTGTAGTTACAGGTGGTTATGAGCAGCTTGATTGGGCGCTAGGAACTAAAGCTGGGCCCTCTGCATGAGCAACAAGTGCTCTTAACAGCTGAGCCATCTCTCCAGACCCTGGACATGTCCTTTTAGGTTACCTCGAGCAGTGCAAGGGATCATTGCTATCTATGTGTATGTAGGGCTTGCCCTTGTCCTGGCTTCATCTCAACATAACTATGAACTTCCTCTTAACTTCATCAACCCCAAATCATCACAGTCCTGACAACCCAGAAACCAGTAATGGACCAGTATTTTCTATCTGCCCCTGCTACGAGCACACAGTAGGTCCTCAGCAAGTTTTCCCAGTTCTCTGAGAATGGTCATCTCCCACTATATTGGGATATATGAAAACCCTGCCACCCAGGGACTTGTTTTCTTGCCTATGCTTTCTCTGAGAAATACTTCGCTGGAAAGTAGAAAAAGCACAGGCCAGCAGGACTTGCTATAGAGGAGGTGGCAGAACAGAGGCCAGGGCGGGGTCCTTCCTCTCATGTCAGCATTGAGTTCATTATCCTCAACAAGCAGGTGTTGGCATCCACAAAAGCCCCTTCTCTGGCCCAGACAGTCCTATGGGAGGCCAAGAAGGCAGGAAGAAGCCTGGAATTGATGCTTAAAATGAGATTTTAGAAATTTTCCTACCACATTTTCCTCCCCTATACTTCTTGTCTTTAGGACCACGGGTGACCCAGGCTTGGCTCGATGACCTTGTCCCTGTGATGTCTGATGGAGCAATAACTGTTTCCCACGTGGAAGTGTGAGAAAGCTAACATGAACACTCGAGGAAGACGACCCGAGTGCAGGCCAGCCCAGCGGACACACAGTGTTTTCAGTGGACTTACTGGGGAATCTCAGCGACCAGGCCGGGGTTTTTTTTGGCAAAACCATAGCAGGGGAAGAGGTATGAGAAACACGAGACTCTGCACGGTGACAAAATAAATTGCTTTAATGGGAGGCTTCCTGAGATGGCTGTCAGCCAGACGGCGTCCCTGTCCTGGGATTTCTTGGAGGATCCACTGGCCGAGCCCCAGGCCCGCAGGAAGCTAGGGCATCAGGCTGCCACTAATGTCTCACTCCCTAGAGCTCCAGAGGTGTGTCTTAACATCAGCAGAGCAGAGCAAGCTGGCAGTCTATCCACAGTGTGCCGTCCCTGTGGCCGGAGGGGTGGGGAAGAGATTCATTTCCCACTGCGGGTGTTCTTCCATGGGGAGGGGGAAGGGAACAAGTTACTCTTGGAATTCCAACTCTGACCTTTACAAAGAAAAGCGACAGACACTTTAGTATTATATACAGGGTGGGGGAGATACCTGGAAGGGTAATTGCACTTAATTACAATAGTTTATAGTTTACACGCATTGGACAAATTTACTTCTTTAGAAGAAATCTCGAGATCATCTGGGATGGGGGAGGGAGGCTGTCAGTATTTACAGGGTCTGGCTCAGTTCAATAGCACACGTCCTCCTCGGTCCTCCTCGTCATTTCAGTAACAGATTCAAGTTTTTGTATCAGTTTGTTCGACGGACTGCAGCGTAGACTCCACGGTTTTCTCGCTTCCTGTGGCACCGTGGTGCACCACCTGACTCTGGGAGAAACGAGCACTCGGGAGGCGGCAAGACAATACTGCAGAGAAGGGAAGCAGGGCTTCAGGCTGCACCCCGAGAGAGCAGGTTGTTCAAGGTGTCTGTAGGGTGTCAGGTAAGCGGGAACTCTAGTCGCGTCACTGAGCTTTTCTATGACAGCTGCCCAGCGAGACTTGATGGTGTGTAAAATGGGGTCCTTGCCGCTGCACACAAGGTGGGTGGTTGCATAGGCATCACCAGGCTTGCAGTGGACACTGCAGAGGAAGAGAGAGGGGAGAAAGGGTTTAGCCGTGTGCACGCAGGCCATCGGTTTAGTTTCTCCAAGGGAGCAGACACGCAACTCCGCCAGCAAAGGACCTGGAGGTGGGGGGCTGGAATGGGGTTGCTGAAACACACTCCCTGTGGGAAAGCTTTTCCCTGGCACTTCTGAGGAAAGAAGCGCATTGCTGGAGACCCTGAAATAGTCCTGATTTGCTGACCTTACCCCTGAAGTGGGGTTTTGTGACAATGACATTTACACAGTGCTCAGGGAGATCACACAACAGCAGGGTTGGGAGTTCTAGGCCTCTTGTGGAAGTCTTCCTAAGACCGCTAACAGCACAGTACCCTAAACCACTGTTTCCCAAACTTGGATGGAACAACCAGGACAAGGATCCTGTGAAAACATTGTTCCATTTCCAATTCTTAGGCCTGGGAGTTTGCACTTGCAGTTTGAAAATCATTTACACTGATTTCTTTGTGTGTGTGGGCACTCAGAGTGCACATGTAGAGGCCAGAGGACAATTCACACGAGTCCATTCTCCCCTTTGACTATGTGAGTTCCAGGATCAAACTCAGGTTGATGGGCTTGGCCGCAACGCAAGCTCCTTCACCAGCTGAGCCACCTTGCCAGCCCCAGGAGTGTGTTTGTCTAAGAACTCCACAGGCTCTGTGACACCGTTGAGCTACCAGAAGCAGCAAGGCCATAGCAGTCTACTCAAAGTTTCCACCAGGGAGAGGGCTCTGAAAATCCTAAGAACTTTCAAGGATGGGGCTAGAGAGATGGTTGAGCTGTTAAGAGCACTGGTTGCTCTTCCAGAGAACTTGGGTTCAACTCCCAGCACCCACGTGGCAGCTCATAACTGCCTGTAGCTCCAGGTTCAGGTGATCTGAAACTTCCTTCACACAGACATACAGGCAGGCAAATGAGGCCATGCGAAATAAAAATAAATTAATTAAAATAGAAAGAACTTTTAAGGGCTGTTACCAATAGGAAAATAAGTCAAGGGCAGACGGTGTTTGATGCCACACATCTGAAAGGGCCAGGGAAGGAGATCTCAGAGTGTCTGGAGCCACCCTCTGGGAGGGGCCACAGGACCCATGTGAGGCAGCTTCTCCTTCCAGAGCTCAGGGCTCCCCTGTGATTATTTCAGAAAGGCAGGGCTCCTCTTTCAGACTCATGTTTCCCCTCCCTTTCCTTCCCACCCTCTTACTTTTGTTAGCATTGAAGGTTTCCTTTCGGCCTAGTGGCTTGTTTTCGCGAGATGCTCCCTTCAAACATACATGCAGCACACCCGAGAACCCATAGAAACACAGCCCTATTATCCCTTTATTTTCTTACTAATCAGGGCTCTCAACTACGACCCCATGAGGTCATGACAGATTTATGAAAATCAAGGTTCAGTGTAAGCTGGACTGGCCCGATGGTTCAGAACCGGGAAGACTGGAACCGAGCCTCAGGTTGGTTTTGGGTGACCTCCAGCATGTGTTGGGGGCTAAGAGCATTCTTCCTGCTTAGCCTTTGTTCTCAGTCACATTAGTCTTTGTGCTTCAGTTTCTTTCCTCTATAGAAGGGAAGCTACAGTGGGCTTGACGCATTAGTACAGGTGATGTTGCCTCAGCGGTGTTTGTGTGGTCATTATTAATAACGTCCAGGACGGGCCCTTTCCTCTGTTCTTGCTGCTCTTGAGGGCCCCTAAGAGTGGGCCTGAGCTCTGCATTTGCATCAGGAGCTGGGTTTCTGCTCCTCCTACATTCTTTGGGGCCTCGGTCAGGATCCCCCCGATACCCTTCGCCTCCTCTGCTTGCTTCTGCCCACCCCCACTCTCGAGTCTCTTTACTTCCCAATATCAGCCCCTCCCCTTTTCCTTCTAATTTTCAGATTTCAGGTGGAAGAGAGAGAAAATGGCTTGTGACCTCGCAGGTTTCGGCAGAAGCGCAAACAAGAAGGGCAGATAAGGAGACGCCAGGGAGACCCTATGGCCTGTCATTAGGGCTGGACTTTCTAGCTATCAGATGTTTGCTCACATAATAAAATGGTGGCAGAGCCCTAAATGTTGTCAAAGGAACTGGAATTATTTGCTCCCTTCGGAGTCTAAACATAAACACCTGATAAGGTGTGCGCTGGGGTCCTAGCACACCCAGTTCCATGGGGGGGGGCGGCTCAGAGCAGCACCCTATGACCTGTCTGAAAGGTGTGGTGGCTGAGGCCTTAGTCCCCTGAGGATTCGTTACATAATGGCGGTAGCTAAAGCGTGCTATGGCTCCACTGCGTGCAGTCACTGCTCAGGCTTGGCTTACACAGCCCTCTATCTCGCATCAGTTTAGCATTAGTTTACGGCAAAGGCACAGGCTTGCACATGCCACCGCTTGTGTGTGGAGGTCAGAGGAAGCCTTGCAAAAGTCAGGTCTAGGCCCTGTCCACCACATGGGAGCTGGGGATCTTTCTACCCAGGTCACTTGTCTTTACCTGCTGATCCATCCTGCTGGCCTCTGTCTACGCTCTGAGGTGGACGGCTGTTATTTATCCATTCAGGTCATTGCTGACTGCCTGCTGTGTATCCAGGGTGTGCAACTGCGAACAGGACCAGCCTGGCATCTCATACAGGTTACATTCTAGTGAGTGTGAACAACATGCCACTAAACATCACATGCATATATCCTAAGTCATCAGCTCTTAGGTGGAGAGGAATACTCTTCCGAAAACAAGCCTGGTAAGTTAGGCTGACTTGAGGGAAAGGGGGACTCATTGAGGGAGGCAGTGACACGTGAATTGAATTAGATGAAGGAACAAGCATGTCAAGTCCCACAAAGTGTGTTCCAGGCAGACGAGGCCAAATGCACAATACTGAGTGTGATCACTTTGTCGGCTGCTATGAGTCCCTTGTTCCAGTGAACAAAGGAGGAGCAGGAAGAAGTATGGAGATGATAGTAGCAGCAGCCGCAGCAGCAGCAGCAGAAGTAGCAGCAGCAGCAGCAGCAGCAGAAGTAGCAGCAGCAACAGTAGCAGCAGCAGCAGCCTGATCACCCAGAGCTTGTACCTCTCCTCTTCCTTTGGTTGCTATGGAAAGCTATTGGGGAGCTTTGGCAGGGGAGGCACAGGCCTGATTTTTCTCTTGAAGAGACCACTCTGGCTGCTGCAATCAGACTACAGTGTTGTGTGGAAGAACAGAAGTGGGAGCAAGGGCCATTGAAAGAGATCAGCTAGAGACAAGAGAAGCCTGAGCTTGGGCTAAGTTGGTACCCACAAGAGAGGGGCAGAGCATCAGCTTCAGAGGTTAGGAGCACTTGCTGCTCTTACAAAGGACTGGAGTTCAGTTCCCAGCACCCATATGGCACCTAGGACTCCAGTCCCAGGGAAATCAACACCTATTTCTGGCGTCCTTGGGCACTACATGTACATGGTACAGAGATACGCATAGGCAAAACACTAGCACATAAAACAAAAATGATACAGCTTTACAAAAAGATCTGAGTGAGACTATAGGGGGAAATAATTCTCAGTCATTTGTAAGCCTCTTTCTGATGCTCTGGATCAGAAAGATTCCATGGATTGGATGTTCCCTTGGGTCAAACACAGAGGGATCTATTCTACTGGGGACTTCTTGCAATCAGTCCTTGCAATGATCCCATGAAAGAGATTTCATTGTATATAGAAGGAAACTGAGGCTTGACATATTCCCCAAGGGCATATGGAATAGAATTTCGAGTCTTGATCCAGCCAGCTCCCGGGCTTAGCACTGCTAGCCATCATCCATCTTGCTTTCCTCACCCCAATGGTGAAAATGACTGACAAGAAGGGCTGGCCTCAGAGGACCCAACATGAAGCAGCCCGCCTTCTCTTGTCAGCACCTCCGGGGCTTCTCTTGACCTCTCTGTAAACTAAGAAGTGAAAGGATGGGTGGAGAGAGCTAAGGGAGCAGGAGTCAGCTCACAGCCTGCACACTCTGGTGGTGACTGAAGTCATTTCTTGTGTAGTCTCTGCTATACAGGAGCCCAGACACAAACTCTCTCAGAACAAAACTCACAACACCCAACAGTTGAAGAGGAAGAGACAAATTCTCTGGGAAGGACAGAGAGCAGGAGCTACGGAAGGACTCGTGGCCACCAATGATTCCTGAAACTCCATCCTGGAGGGCCCCGAGGCAGGTCTGTAGTAGCAACAGTAAGTGCCGGAATCAGACAGCTGCAAGTTCACAGTCTAGATTTAGCCTTCCTTATACACGCACAACCCCGCGCCATTATTATGGTGCTTAAGCATGCATAGCTATCAGAAGCCAAGTATGGCAGCACATGGCTGTAAACAGCATTTGGGAAGCAGAGGAAGGAATATCGCTGCAAAACTGATGCCTGGCTTGTTTGTGCCATGAGTTTCAAGCCACGAGGTTCCCAATTATTGTTCCCCTTCTGCTAACACAGAAACATGTTCTTTTCCATCTTCCAGGGAAGCGGCAATCGCTTCAGAGGCACTGAAATCATCAACTCAAAAGGAAGAAAGGAAGGAGGGGAGAGAGAGAGAGAGAGAGAGAGAGAGAGAGAGAGAGAGAGAAAGAGAGAGAGAGATGGTAGAACAGCAGCTTAAATGTTTGTTGGAAATTGAAGGTACTAAAAAGTACCAGTTCTGAATCTGTCCCCTCACTCATCGATTGCTCCATCCATCCACTGAACATATACCATGGCCCAATTTTGCAGCAAGGAAAGCAGTGATCTGGAGCCTAGACCCAAGATGATGAGCCTTCGGGAGAGAGGACCATAATCTGGAAAATATCTTGTTGGCAGGGCCTCCTATAGCCACATAGAGACCAAACACTGAGGTAGATGCTGAAGAAGTCAGGAGGGGAGACGATGGGCTCATAAAGGAGCACAGACAGAAGAAGGAATAGAGAGGGAGCTTCCCTCTGCTCTTGACTCTGCCCTGACACCCTGTTAGGCACTTGTGAGACAGGGTAGAGTGTCCCCATTTATAAAGCAAGCAACAGTTTTAGTAGTTTTTCTTTTTTAACATACAGACTTTTTTTTTAAGATTTATTTATTTATTTATTATGTATACAACATTCTGCCTCGATGTATGCCCGCACGCCAGAAGAGGGCGCCAGATCTCAGTACAGATGGTTGTGAGCCACCATGTGGTTGCTGGGAATTGAACTCAGGACCTCTGGAAGAGCAGCCAGTGCTCTTAACCTCTGAGCCATCTCTCCAGCCCCCGAGTTTTAGTAGTTTTAATGGGGAAAAGCTGCCCAAGTTCACAGAGCATGGGCTGGTGGAGTCTGAATTAACTCAGGTGTCCTGGCTTTTCCAGCCACCGTACAATGCCTGTAAAATAGCACGGTCCAGGGTGCGGCTCCATGGCTCAGCCACGGCAGGCACTAGTTGCTGGTTCCGCACACACACCAGCCCATGGACTGTTCTGAGAAGCCCTTCCCAGCAGGCTCTGTTTAAACTAGCGTCCCTGGAACATACTTGACCCAGGACCCATTTTCTCCCATATATCTCACATGCTCTAACACCTAGCGATGGTTTTGAAACCATCTCTCTCCTTCTATATTCCTTCTTTCTGTCCACGCTCCCTTACGAGAACACTGTCTGCTCACGGAGAAGGATACTTTAAAACGAAGAAAGAACAAAAGCTGTTCATGTCCCTGGTGCCTCAGGAAGAGGGGTGTGGCTTCAGTCTACCCTCTTCTGTTCTTCCTGCTGCTTTGGTGCCAAAGAAGTTTTCTGTTTGGAACTGAGCACACATGCTTCATTTTCCCCCTGGTTCTAAACCACTTACAACAACAAAAGCATTGCCGATTGTTATGGGCACTTCAATAGGGAGTGTAGGTGTTTAAATGGAAAGAGTCCAGGATTTGGGATCAAAACCTGAAGTCTGGGGGGCTAAGTTCATCTGCATGACCTTGGGTAGGTCACTTTCCACTCTGGGTTTCAGAAATGATGATATTCACCAGAGAGAGGTATAAACTATAAAGCATTACATTTTTCTTATGAGACAATGCTCCTCTTGCCTCAGCTTCCTGTGTCCTGCTATTACAAGCATGTAACATCATGGCCACCTGAGAATTTTTAAATAATTCTTATTAGTATTATAAGCATCTTCAGCGTTGCAGAGATGAGGGTGTGGCCACTTGTGAGACGTTCTGGACTATAGAGACAACTTCATAACAGATCAAGGAAGCTGCTCAGGCAGCTGCAAGGTTGACTAGCCACTCTGCCCAGTGGAGGGCAGAAGTCACGTGGGGGTGATGGCAGCATCTCTGGGAGCTTCTTGAGGCAGGTTAAGAGACTATTTCCTGAATCCAGAGGACTCGTTTCAACAAGCAAGCATCAAAGTCAATGTGGGAAAGACAGGGATAATTAATTACCACCCTGTCTAGGGCTGCCCAAGCGGTAGATGGATGGATAACCCTTTAAAAGAGGAAGGCATTCCCAAGGAGGGCTGCTGCGCCTGACTGCCCCCCGATGGGATTGGTGAGCACAGATAAATGTTCTCCCTGATGGCTACAAAGAGTGGGAAATGGCACGGGAGTCAAGAGTCGAAGGGCAGGGCAACTGAGGGTTGTCTTTTAATCGTCTATTGGGTGAGAGAAGAGTGGTAGAGAGGGTCCCACACACCTCTACTTCTAATTCCAGTTTTGGAGCCCAGCAACCCAAACCATGTGTTTGGCATCCAAGATATGCCAGGCACTTAATATACATGACCTCTCCAAATCCTTGAAACAAGTAGAAGGTACAATTGTATTTTCAAGACGAAGAAATGAAAGCTCAAATAAAGCAGTAGAGCCCTCCCTACTTCACTCTACGGCAGTGGTTCCCAACTTTCCTAATGCCGCAACCCTTTATACAGTTCCTCATATTATAGTGACCCCAACCGTAAAATTATTTCATTACTACTTCGTAACTAACTTTGTGGGATATCTGATAAGCGTTCCCTGTGAAAAGGATCCTTATCCTCCAGAGGGGTCATGACCCACAGGTTGAGAACCACTGCTCTAGGGCCAGAAGAAGATGAGTCAAGGCTCATGAAAGAATCTGATCGGAAGCTTGTAGCAGTGGGTGAGGTGTGACTTACAGGGCTCAGGAGTGGGGGGAGCCGATCAACAAGATCAAACCTTGATGGGTGCTTCTGACATGAAGTTCAAGGTTGTCGCCTCCTTATCTAGCAATCGATAGAGGCCACACAGTTCCCATAGTACATAGATCCCATCTGCTGAAAGGTCTCATTGTGTTACTCTGGAATCCACAACTGTGTTCAGACATCTTGTCCTGTTTTCTGGTTCTCAGTGTCCTGTACAGTTGTCTGAGTGACAGCCCTCCCTGTTGGCTCGTTGTTTGTATGACTCCATCCCCTCTTTGGGAGGTGGGGATTACTCATCCTCTGAGGCTGTGACTAAGCTGCCAGATCCCCCCACTCTCTGTGCACCAGGAAGTTGAATTTGAGTTTCTTAATAAACCATGGAATGGGCACAGACCTCTGAAAAAGTCACACTGTCTACTGGGGAGTCGTCAGAGGGTTAGCACAATTAGATTAGTCCTGGAGCTCATAGCCTGGGGGTAGTATGGGCCCTAGACCAAGAGAATCAGCCCCAAGGCCCCATCCACCTTTCTCTTTCCCCACTGACCACCTCTGCAAAGCTGGCAACGCAACAGACATCCTGACCTCCCATCCCCTCCTGGAAAAACCCTTTCTATGGATCATCAACCATCCCAGTCAGGAATGCTCAGTATCCAACAGCACTGTGTCATCCGGGCTCCACTGACTAAGCTGCCAGATCCCCCCACTCTCTGTGCACCAGGAAGTTGAATTTGAGTTTCTTAATAAACCATGGAATGGGCACAGTCCCACTCCAGTCTTCCTTTAGTACTCTTGCTGGGGAGCAATGAGTCTTTTTGGCCTGGGGTCCATCTGTTTTGCCCCCGGACCTCAGGGGTTCTCTTTAGCAGGTGACTGAAGAAGGGTCTCACAAGAATGAAACCGTGACTGAGTATACACTTACTCGGTTGGTACCTCACAGTCACAGTCATCATATGAACACACACACACACACACACACACACACACACACACACACACCCTGGCGCCATTCTGTTGGCATTACCTGTTTACTGGAAGACATGCTGGTGAGGGTATTGATGCTACTGGTATCTGTGACCACCATCGCAGATGGAAACCGGGAGGTGTGGGAATACTGAGGGGGTTCCTGTTTATGGGCATACACTGGAGAGACAGAGAGAAGACAAATTCAATGTATCCACAGTCACAATGCCACCATAAGCCACACTATACCTCCTATTTCTCCTACGGAGAAATCCTGGTTTTTTACTCAAGGTACTTAATCTCGGCTTGGTCTCCTCCCTTATAAGACAAGGATGACATCTATTGTAGGAAAATAATAACATTTAAGCTGCTTTGAGCTAAATATATACCTTGTGCACACTTCTGTTTCCCTGACTTCGGGTAAACTATTCGGCACCTAAGCATCAACAGGCGACCTTGGGCATATGGAGTACACCACCTGGATAACACGAAGCAACTGCCCAGGTGTGCACCTAACTGTTTCTGCCACAATTCAAAAGTCAGGCTTCCTCCCTGAGCCGAAAACTGATTAACAACAGTAATTAGATGCACGTGTGGTTAACGGTCTCCTTCTGAGCTATTCCTGTTTCGCTGCAAGGATATCAAAGCCGTATGACATCACAGAAATATGAAGGGTAAACAAAAGGAGACTTGACTAAAATAAGACCTCCAGGAGCATGTGACTCAACATTTAGTTGTTTTAGTACTGACCTACCAAATGTGGAACCTTGTGATGAGTGCTAGCTATCCATAAGACTCATGTAGCTCCTAGGTCACCTGACTAACTAATGAAAGCATGTGGGTGCTTGGGCACGAGGGACGAGCATGTTCCCAAAACACGAACCCTACCAAGGAGGCCTCCAGTGTGAAACGGAGGTGAAGGTCACTATCTTCTGGTTATTTCCTGCTCTAGCTCCCCTGAGCTCGTCTGATGGCTAGTCAGGTCTGCAGGTTCTGAGCGACCCCATGGGTCACGGTGACCACCGGGATACTGTGGTGCCACCCAGGCCTACGTGGGGAGTTGGGAACATAGTGCCAGACTCTACAGGAGGGCAGTGAGCACACCTGAGTCCCAGACTCCACTGCAGGCGGCGGCAGAGTTCTAAAAGTCAAAGATATGTGATTGGAATGTGGGGTGCTGTTTAAAAACCAGCCCTGCAGGCCTGAGTCAGGACTGAGCCCCAAGGAGAGAAGGCTGAACCACGTCATCCGTTCAACTTCAGACCTGCCGTGTGTCCACGGCAGCTGGAGGAACGACTCCCTTTGCTCTCCTTGCCTCTTAAGAATGACTTAGTAAACACGTGTTTCCGCAACACTTTATGCTTATGAAAGGCAGGTCACCCACATTTTTATTTCATGTTCATAATTACTCCATAACCACACTATTCCTTTATTTTTTATTTTATTTTATTTATTTATTTTGTTTTTCGAGACAGGCTTTTTCTGTAGCTTTGGATCCTGTCCTGGAATAGGTCTTGTAGACCAGGCTGGCCTTGAACTCACAGAGATCTGCCTGCCTCTGCCTCCTGAGTGCTGGGTTTAAAAGCATGTGCCACCACAGACAGGCCACTATTCCTGTTTTATGCACAAAGAAAATGAGACTCAGAGTAGCGGGTGGCTACATAGCTGTTTAAGACTAGCCTAGTCTAGATACTTCCTGAAACAGGCAAGATGTCCACCCCTTCTTTAACGCCCTCCTTAACTTAAAATTGGTGCTATAGCCATACTTGGCCAGAATAGTGGAAGGCCTGAGTCCAGGATGGAAGGCAGGGATAGGTAAATATAGGAAGGTATAAAAGCTGAATGTGGGAACTCCCCCCCTCCCATGCAAAGGACAGAGACTCTGGTGCTCTTTGACTTGGTAGAGGAAAGGTGATATTTTCCATGTCAGTTGATGGGCAATTTGTTTGGTTTTTATGTTGTATGTTCATGTATGTGTGGGTGCACATGAATGTATGGGCGTGTGTGCCTGCATGCATGCATGTATATGCAGGTCAGAGGTGATCTTAGTTGTTGCTCCTCTGGTGTGATCTGGGTTGTTTTTGGGGACAGGATCTTCCACTGGCCTGAACTCACCAAGTATGCTAAAACTGTTGGCCGGTGAGCCCCAGAGCTCTACCTGTCCCCACTCCCCGGAGCTAGGATTGTAGGCCCATGTCACCACATCCAGATTGTTGATGTGGGCCCCAGAGAGCCAAGCTCAGGTTCTCATGCTCGTTCAACAAGCGCTTTACTGACTGCGCTATCTCTCTAGCCCTTGTCTGTTTTGTCCTCAGTGCCGGGGATTGAACCGAGGGCCTCGTGCCTGTGAGGTGCATGCTCTGGCACTGAACTGTATCTCCACCCCAAGCCTCATGGCTTTCCATTGGAGATTTCCAGAGTTTGTAGGCTATGGGCACCAAAGACTCCAGAAAATGCATCTGTTTCAGAGAGGCAAATAGATCACAAGTGGCAGGCCGACTGTGACCATCAGGGGCTGGGAGGGGAAACTGTTCTGTGTGTTCCACGTGCTTTGCCAGCGCCCCTTTGATGGTTTTCCTCTGCAAACTTCCCCCACTTAGAGTGCTGGGGCCAGGAAAGAGGACAGAAAAGCAAGAACGACACCCCAAGAGCGGAGCCAGCAATCTTCCAAGAAACTTCCAACCCCGGCACGCTTGTGTCCTTACTGTGCGAGTTCTGTAGCTGAGTCACCGCAGCCATGAAGGGCTGCTGGGCCATGTGGCTGCCTGGGCTCTGCTGCATGAGGGGTTGCTGGTGAGGGCTGTGCAGCTGTTGGGAGAACTGAACGGGCTGGAGGGCTGCCAGGCTGCTGGCCACGCTGTTGATGACGGGAACACTCTGGGCTTGGGAGGTGTTGAGGCCTGTAGGAGCAAGGGAGAAGAGTCAGAGTGGTACACCAGGGATGAACAGACGTGAAGCGCAGCAGCAGTCACAGACGGGGCCTCGCCCTGCTCGGTGTGCATGTCACTGGGCGGAGCCTGTGACGGAAGAGACTGCACGGAAAATGACTTGACAAACAAGGGAACCGAGACCCGAAAGATAAACGTTTTGAAAACCTGAGGGTCTCTCCAAATCATCCGATGACCTCCCAAATTCATCTCCTTTGAGGTCACCAGAATCCTGGGAAAATGACTTTGTTTGCCGGCTCCACCCATGCTGGACTATGAGAAGTCTGTCCTGGTGTCCTCTGGCACAGTTAAAGATGTCCACTTTGGGGTATGGCTTATTACCCAGACCTGTCTTTCCAATAGGGGGCATCAGTATGCGGCAGCCCCTTTTGCCTCCAAGGATTCCCCCCTTCCCATTCCCTTCCTCCACTCCCACAACCTCAGGTTTCCACAGGCCCAGAAGGACTGAGTCTGAGGGTGCACAACAGAGCCCGCAAGGCCCCTGGAAGAGGTTGAACTGGCTCTGTTGACAGTCGCAGAGAGAGGAAGAACACATGAGAACTCAGCCTGTCTGTGAAGCATATGTCTAATATGCTAGAGCTTTTGGTACCCAAAGTACTAGGTTGGAGAAGGAAGCAGTAAGTCAAAGACGTGACAGTAGGGCGGGCCTTCTTTCTGTTCTGGGGACATGGGGACCACCTCTGTGTTCTGGTATCAGGCCTGCATCCCAAGACTTCCTTTGAACCCCAGCCACCACTGCAAGGCCTGGGTCTCCTGTCTCCATGCTCTAGTTGCAACCTGATATGACCCTGGGGAAGACGAGATAGGATCAGAGTAGAGGCCAGAGGATGAGCAGAGAAGATCCCCCAGTCTCTGTCCCTGAGCTGCCAATGCCCCTTAGTCCTTGCTTGCTGGGAAGTCAGGGGTGGGGGATGTGATGAAGAGGGCCGGTTGTAGGTAAGTGCAGAGGGGAGATCTGGAGAGTCTTCCTGCAAGGGAGAACTCTTTGAGAGCGTAAGCAGTATTGTGGGAAGTCCTCCAGGGAGACAGCACAAAGTCTTCAACAATTGCCCACTTGGAGCTCTAGCAGATACCGTTATCAGAAAGTTAAAAGGCGAGACCCTTGAGCAGAAAGGAAGAACAGATAACCCTCTTCCTGGCCCCCCTGGGTGGGACTTGATGGGTGGGTGGGGCTTCTGATCACCCTCAGACTATCATTAGAATATTACCTTCTTGGGGGACTCAGCTTCTCCCCAAGTGTGCATCTCGCCTGACATCCCGATACTCTATTTCAATTTTCCTCCTCTTACTGTTGGCCTATGGCTCCCAGGAAATCCTATGAATTCTCTGTTTATCCAGGATTTAGTGCCCACTACTCTTGTAGGGAAATCTCTGCCCAGAAAAGGATATTAACCCCTCTAGACTGGATGAGATTGGAGAGCACAGTTCAGAAATAAGCCTGAGCCTTAGACCCACCCAGGAGACCTCTTTAAGAAATATACATTCTTGAGCCCCACCCAAGACTCAATGAGTCAAAACCTGCAGAGGTGGGGCCCAAGAATCTCATTTTCGACAGTCTGAGATCCCAGTGTGCTTCTGGTCCAGGTCCGAGAACCTCTGTGTCATCCTAGCTCCCCCATTGTGCGTGACACATGGCTTCTTTCATCCGGAAGGAGCAAAGATAATGAGGATTTGTCAGTGACAAGCCACTTGTCCAGAGTCCCACAGTGCTAAGAGAGCCCCCACTACTACCCGTACACATGAGAAAACAAGAAACTTCTCTCTAACTGACTGGGTCTCAGCCAAACTTCCTGGCAATCCTCACCCTTCTTTATGCTCTGTCTACCCCAGTGCACATGCGCACCTGTACCTGAGGTCAGTGTGCACCCTGTCCGCATGCTGCAGGAGACACTGTGAGGAGGTTGAGATGCATGGGTGCACAGGATGGGGAGAACAAATGTGGAAAATTCAGCATGGCCCTAGGCAAAGCTGTAGTTCAGACAGCACCTACGTTAATACAGCTGAGGGTGTGTCTTAGTCAGTGCTTGGTATGGGAAGAAAGGAAGTGGGGCAATTTGTGTGTTATTTTGTTTGAAGAAATACGGAAAAGGGTAGCTCACCCACAAGCCTTTTTCTTTTTGTAGTGTGTGCGTGTGTGTGTGTGTGTGCACACGTGCTCAGGCATGTACCTGTATAGGTCAGAGGACAACTTGCAGGAGTCGGTTCTCTCTTTCCACCTTTAGGTGGTTCTGGGGATTAAACTCAGGTCATCAGACTTGGTGGCATACAAGCACTCTTACCTGCTGAGTCATCTCCCCCAACCCTATGAACTCTTTAGGAAGGTGAGCAAGCTGGTTTTAGGCATCTCATTCCCACCCCACACCCCACACCCCCCTGAGACAGGGTTTCTCTGTAGCTTTGGTGCCTGTCCTGGAACTAGCTCTTGTAGACCAGGCTGACCTGGAACTCACAGAGATCCGCCTGCCTCTGCCTCTGAGTGCTGGGATTAAAGACGTGCGCCACCATTGCCCGGCCAGCATCTCATTCTTCATCCCAGTCCTGGTGTTAGTCTGCTTGCTGTAGGAGCCCGTGTACCAGAGGGTCAGAGAAATGGAAGTGACTCTGAAGTAACTTTTAACTTCGTAAATCTCCTAAAGATCTCTTTATTCCCATTTCCCTTCTGCAGAAGAAAATGCTGAGTGTGGTTCCATTTCAGCAGCTAAGGACAGGGCGAGAGCCCCACAAAGTCATTCAATAAATTCCCGTGCTTTCAACGGTCCCTGCCGTCTCTGCCCTCAGAGGAGGCCTAAGCCATTCTCCTATACGATTCCAGTTCTTAGGAGACAGGAAGGGAGGGAAGCAAAAAGCAGGAACAAGACAAGGAAGCAATTCGCACGGGGCCCTGGACCATGGGGCAGGGCAAAGTTGAAGAATTAACCAACATGCTACCTTTAGGAATCTCTGGATCCATCTGAGGAAGATCTCAGGTCACAAAGATGATTCTGAGAAACAATGGCTTTGCCTGAGTGGTCACAATGAAGCAGAAAAATGTTTAAACCTTCAGATATTCAGTGACAGTGAAGGCGAAAAAACGTCCAAAACCTCTAAGAAGCCTGCCTTCCCACCGCCGGCAATGGCTCACCTCTGAGGGAGCAAGGCTGGCTGCAGAACAGAGCCTCCTGGGGCTAAAGGGACCTCGCCCACCACCCACCTTCAGGCGTGTGTTAAACAATCTACTTCTCTTTAAAATTTAGAAAGCTCAGTCAGTGAGCCTTTTTGGGTCCTCTGTATTTTTTACAGGACTTGTCTGTGACATGATATGACTTCTTCAGAAACCCATCAAAGCCTTGCTCCATCTTCACCAACCCCACAAGACAATACACAGGGTAAGGAATGAACAGGAAGCAAACGTATGTACAAGCCAAAGTTATGAGAGGTCTTGCTTTCTAGATTTACAAGCGTGTCTATATTCCTTATCACTGCATAGTGCTAACAACTCATTTTATAGATGAGGAACTCCAACCCCAGAAAGTATAGCAATTTGAACTAACTGCACAGCTAGTAAAATGTGACCTGGATTCAAAGCCATTAGAAAAATATCTCTCGCAGGATAAATGTACGATAGGTATGGTAGAGGAGAGAGAAAGGAGTCAGAAAATAAAATCCAACCTACAAGTGTGCTGAGCACAACTGAGCATGTCTGTGACCCCAGTCGTGAGGCAAAGGCAGAAGATGGCCGCAGGTTCAAGGCCAGCTTGATAGGGATGCCCTGTCTCAGCCACCCTACCCTGAAAAATCCTCTAGGTGCGGTGGGGGAGGGGGTGGGGTCTCACAGGAGCCTTTTGTGCCTGTTTCTGTTGTTCTGATTTGCTTTTCATTTTTTCTCCCTGCCCGCAGGTTTACTGACAAAGAGAGGAACTTACTCTGTGCAATGGCCATGACTCCAGACAAGGGGGTCATGATGAGGTTCTGAGATTGCTGGGGATTGTGATGGGAGAGGCTGTGGATATTCGTCAAGGTGCTGACGGGGGGCAGTCCTCCTCCTGAGACAGTGATCTGCTGGAAAGGAAAAAGAAAGGCCACGTGAGTGGGGTCAAACCACCAAGGGGAGGGCTGTTTCCAGAATGCTACCACTCAGCAACTGATCCATTCACGTAACAACCAAAGTTAAACAGCGGGGCAGACTCCGTTCTAGAAGCGGAGGGGAGGACAGTCACAATCAGGACTCTGTCCTCATGGCCATGGTATCTGTCCATTCTTTGAGGACTTGACTGACAAGTCCTTCTGTTCATGTGTTACATGACTGTCACCTGCTCACTATTTAGGTGCTCTCCATCCTGATTTCCTACCTTTTATGTGATGGGTGCTGGAGATAGGAGACTGCTAAAAATAAAACCAAGGCAATGCCCTAGGACTCCCTAGTCAGGGTAAACTAGGAACCAGGAAGGAGTGCAGAGTGCTCCCTACTCGTGCAGCAGCTCACTGCAGTCCCAAGAGTTCTGACACGCCCATTTTCCAGGTAGACATGCATCCTGCCTGAGACCCTGAAGCTCGGAAATGGTACGCCCACCTGTTCTTCAAGTAGGGTCAGTCTGCCCTGGGAACCATTTTTAACCTATTTTATACGAGAATCTCCTTCTGCCTCTCCCCACACTAATCAATTACTAAGAGTATGGGGAGTTAAGGTTTTTCTTGTTTCCCCAAATCTTCACCATACTTTAAAATTGCTCCCCTTTTCTCTCCCTCCATCTTCAGTCAAAGCGCCAAGGCCACTAGGGACAACTAAACCCGTCTCTACTGTTTCGCCATCACATTTTAACGGCAGATTCATAGTGAAGTGGACCAGTTCTTGCATGTGTATTGTCTACGACTGCTGTATCTAATTCTTTTATTTGTCCTGACTAATCTCTTTTCCTATTTTTCATGGTGTATAGTTGTAAAAAAGTATCAAATCCTACCTGGGGCTCACCCTTGCTTTAACAAAGGTGTCTATTAGCCCACTGGCTGGAACTTTCTCAATAGTACTAAATAAAAACCACTGTGAAAATGTGTCGTTTTGATCCCAATATAAATCAAAAATATTTCTAATGTCCTCTTGTAACCATATATAAAAACTAGCTTGATATGCAGACTTTTTCAAAGTAATTTACCATTCATAGTTTTGAAATAATTTCTAATTTTTGTGTTTTTGAGACAAGGTTTTTCTGCATAGTGCTGGTGTCCTGGAACTCACTCTGTAGACCAGGCTGGCTCTTGTACTAATAGAGATCTGCCTGCCTCAGCCTTCTGAGTGCTGGTATTAAAAGTGTGAGCCACCACCACCCAGCCCTATTTTTTTCTTAAGAAAAGACCTTCTCTCATCGTAAGCAGACCCAGGTATCACTGAGAGCACCAGGAAGCCTGCAGCTCCCTCACTGACATCTTCCTGTTCCCTAGAGTCCTTCAGATTCTCGGTCTCACTCTAGTACCTGGAAAGAGGAGAGCTCCCACCGCTCCTTCTGGTCAACCAGACACTTTCCAAGGTTAACTCGGAAAAGGGAGGTAGGGGGTGGGTGGGCTCTTAAATTGGTTTGTTTGTGTTTTTAAAATGAACATCAAGAAATGAGTTAGAGGTCACATGACCAATAAGGAATTTTGACCACATCAAACAAGAGAGAACCAGCCTGCTTGCTGGACTTGTTTTTCAAAATGTAGGAGTCATAAAAAAAAAAAAAAGAAAAGAAAAGAAATTGTGACCTGCCCTCAGACCAAATCCCTTGTGTAATATGGTCTTGAGGGGAAAGCCAGCGGAGGAGTCCAGGCCACCCCGCTCAGCACTTCAGTTTGAGGGTACCACAGAAATGTGGGTGTCAATGACGAAAATGATTCTGTGTGGCTTTACTCTTTGTTAGCCGCTTTCCCAGAAGTCCTCAGTCCGTAATGGCACAAACAGGGCAGGCATTATGACTTTTGTCCCCGGGTCACATATTAAGAAGCTGACCCGCAGAAGAGACATACAGATGAGCTGTATGTCACTGGACAGTAAGCAAGGGAACCCAAGTCCATGTTGAGTTTTGCTACATTGTCAGTATCATCTGCTCACTGTGCTTGTCAACCTTGGTCAGGTGACTTCCCACTCTAAGACGTAACCACTACTTTCTGCTTGCTTCCAGGATGGAAGGAAGCCAGAGGGTTGCCAAAGGATGGAAGGAAGCCAGAGAGTTGCCAAAGATACCATGATAACCCTTAAGACAACAATTTGGAGAGCCATGATTATATAATACCTTTGATATGGTAATTTCTTTATGTGCCCACACATGTGAGGTTAGGGCTATTAGCCCTATCTTGCAGAAAAAGAGGGTGAAATTTAGCAAGTTTAAGAAATGTCTCTAAACTTTTTTTCAATAAAAAGAAAGAAAGAAAGAAAGAAAGAAAGAAAGAAAGAAAGAAAGAAAGAAAAGAAAAAGATCTCAATTGGTAGTCCCATAGTTGAACACAGGTGATCTACCTCTAAGGTCTGACTTAATATTGCCAAAGTATCACATGGGTAAAACAAACAAACAAAGAACAGCATACACAAATTACAGCCTTAACTAGGTCTGCTCTTTTGGCATGGGGAAGGGCCTGCTCTCAAACAGAGCTATAAGTAATCTTCGCACCAACTCTAGTACACGGTATTATTTCTCCCATTTTGCAAATGAAAACACTGAAGCTAAGCAATTCTTTGACCCTATTTTGGTACATGTCAGAGTCAAGACTGCACGTTTGGATTCCCTTGCCCATGTGCCTGTTTTATTTTTTAAATCTGTGTGTGTGTGTGTGTGTGTGTGTCACCTGGTATTACTTCAAGCACACACTCATCAGTGTAATGTGTATTCCTTACGCTTATGCAGCAGGTGTGTTACCCTCTGAGCTCTCTCTCCAACCCATCATGCTCTTTCTAAGCCGTGTTCCACTCTTGCGTTGGTGGAACACGGTCTGGGATGCACTCGTTATACATTAACAGAACAGATTCGAGTTTGAGCACCCTGCAAGAGTGACATAACATATGAACCAGGGTGTTGGAGACAAGTGAGAAGCTGGTCCTTGCAAACAAACATGGAGATATTTGTTAACATTGAGGTGTGCTGTCTTGGTCAATCATCAATCCGGTCCACAATGCCCAGTGAGGGCAGTGCTGAGGAAAGCACAAGAGCGTGTCTGCAGGCTGTTTATGGAGCAGCCTGGACCTGGCCAGAGTCGTGTGTGCCTTAAGGAAGAGCAAGAGAGCTCAAAGAGAGACTCCAAGGGCCTTTAAGCAATAAGAGATAAGGCAAAGAATTGTATTTTATTTCACTTTTCCAGTGCTTAGGGCTTCATTCTTCTAGGCAAAGAACCTCTACCACTGAGATATCCCTAACCCAGAGATAATCATCATCATCATCATCATCATGATCATGATCATCATCATCATCATCATCTCTGTGTATGAATGCTTTGCCTGCATGTATGTCTATTCATCACACGAACACCTAGCACTCATGGAGTCCAGAAGATGGTATCAAATCCTATAGAACTGGGGTTACAGACAGTTGTGAGCCATTGTGTAGGTACTGGGAATTGAACTCCAGTGCTCCGAAGGGACAGCCGGTTCTCTTGACCACTGAGTCACCTCTCAAGCCCCACATAGGAGTTCTTAGTCCACTGAGAAGTAAAGACCTCTTCTGCGAACCTCTTCTTCTGGGGGAAGCCTGCGTAATGCTTTAACTCTAACTTGTTTGCATTTTTACATTGACTGTTAAGAAAAGACTAAGGGCTGGAAAGATGGCTCAGGGGTGAAAATCACTGGCTGCTCTTCCAGAGGACCTGGGTTCAATTTCCAGCACCAATATGGCAGCTCACAACCATCGGTAACTCCAGTCCCAGGGGGTCCAACACACACACAGTACACAGAAATGTGAAGGCAGAATATCCATTCACATAAAATAAAAGTAAAGGTTAAAAAAACATTAAAAGATAAAAGAGACTATAAAGACTTACATATGAGACTTATATATGCCTCTTACAAGGTAGTGGCACCGAATGTTGGCAGGGAGGTAAGGGTCTCTCTTAGGGGGTGAGCTGAAAAATGCTTCCTGCCAGGTTGCCCATGATTTTTGTTTACTAAGACTCCCACTAGAGGCCAGCTCAGGTCTCCTGAAACTGGAGTTGTCCAGATCAGCCCCCCTCCCCCAGGACCTTCAAGTTGTTTTTCTTCCAAGGAACTGGAGACTTGATCAACTGTGACTCACTCCTCCTGTGTTGCCTACACAGCACACACGCCAAGGACTAAAATGGCAAGTGTTCCCTGCCACCCTCCAGCCCCCACCGGCCAAGGCCACGCGGTGGGAGGGGGGCAGACACCTTTCGGGAATGTGTGCAGCTCCACCTTCAGCGTGGAAGTCAGGAACCCTCGCTCCTCCCTCCCATGAAACAGAGCGTGACCCAGAGAATAAAGTTTTCCATTTCCTACCCTCACGGTTGGTGTTGTAATCCTCTTGTTGTCTCAAAAGCCCTCTTCCGTGCCCCTGTGTTGCCAGACATGAATGGGTCTAGGATGGTGGTGCTCAGGTATAAAGAGGGGTTCAGAGAGGATGGGGGTGACAAATCAGAATGCACTATATACATGTATAAAATTGTCAAAGAAAAAACTCAACAAAAGTGAAATGTATATAAAAAAAATTAGGCTGGGCGATGGTGGCGTACGCCTTTAATTCCCAGCACTCGGGAGGCAGAGGCAGGTGGATTTCTGTGAGTTCGAGGCCAGCCTGGTCTGCAAGAGCTAGTTCCGGGACAGGCTCCAAAGCTACAGAGAAACCGTGTCTCGGGGGAAAAAAAAAAAAAAGAATTAGAACCCTTGGAAATTCAAGTGAGCCTTACTGAGCAGGATAAGGGTTCATCTGGGTGTGGGGCTGTGGCCAGAGGTATAGAAAACTTCAGAGGAAATGGCACGACCACAGAAGTAACACTGCCATTCATGAAATATTTACGATGCTGAGTGTTTTCATACGTGTTATCACACTTCCTCCACAACACTATTGCTGTTACCTCCACTTTATAGGCGAGGAAAAGAGAACCAAAGTAGTTCCTTAATTCACCCAAGGCTGCGCCATGATGAAGTGCCAGAGCTGAGATTTCAAAGTAGGTCATTGTACCTTCAGAGCCACCACTCCCCTGCACCTGCCATCATGTCCTTCCTCTCGCTCAGCTCAGGAAATCTCTCCCATCTCTTGCCTTCCACTACAACCCGATTCTGCCCTCATCAGAACCAAAGGAGTTGGGGAAGGAGTCTGGGGCTTGTTTCAAAGTGAGGTGCTCTCTGGGTTTAAAAAAGAAGTCTGGTTTTGGAGGCCTTGGAGGGAAGGATGAATGAACATTTTATCAACACAAATGTCATTGGCAGCCCCAAAATAAACAGTGTCCCACCCGGCTCGCTCCTTTATGAGGCATTCAATCAATAAAATGAGAGCAGAGCTCTGTCAGATTTATTGGCTGGGTTCAAACTGAACACCTCTTATACCCGCCAAAGGCTGGGTCACCAGTCTACCTTTCCGTTCCTGCTCTGGACAGCCCCCGTTTTCCCCGTGGGGCTACAATGGTTCATTGTTTAAGGCAGGCCTTGTGAGAAGTTGTATTTGTTTTGCCTCTTATCTTATCGGCTCTGGCGCTACAATGGCCCAGGTGTACTCACCATTTTACCATCAGGTGAGAGGAGACTGTGGCCTGGGTCCAGGCTGCCGGGGGAGACTTGCTGTAAAACCGACTGGCTGGTCACCATGGCACTGTTGCCATGGTGACTGATGGTTGAAGAGGAAGTGACCTCATTGTTTCCCTGCTGGCTGTAGCGCACTCCTGCAAAAAACAACGTGAACCCAATAGAAAGCATTAGTGTCATGGGGCCCCTGAACACTGACTTGGTGCCCTTTGTTTTCAATGGTGGGCGACAAGGAAACAAAATGGATTTCTTCTCCCCGACCACTCACAAGAACAATCAGCTATCTTCCTCTGTGGTAAGGTGGTGTGGCCTCTGCTTTGACCGTGGAATGTTAGATCTCCAAAGGGAGGCTGGTTTGTCATTTTGGTCATGAGCCTTAGCCTGCAATGGCTGAGCCATCTCTCCAGCCCAGGAGAGGTCACTTTGACCCGTTTTATTTCGTTCTTTGTTATAGTGACGGTGTTTTAGCACTTGGTGGTCATTCAGTCAACTTCTGTTGGAGGATGGAGGGATGGAAAGCAGGAGAGAGCAAGCTGAACCTGCTGAGGCATCAGTCTCTCTGAAGGTGGAGGCAGATCAACCAATGAGGATGAGACAGAGTCCCAATGTTTTCTAGCAAGAAGGGGCAGCGGGAAGACTTTAGGGTTTATAAACAGACACATGTAGGTTAAAATCCTGGCCGGGCCCTGCACCTCTACTTCCTCTCATGAAACAGAGAATGCATCCTCTCCAGGGCTATTTGAGGATTGAAGACAACCTCTCTCCAGTTGCCAGCATAATGCCAAACACCTCAGAACTGAGGTTGAAGATGCCTGGCGGGGTGAGCTGGTAGTCGGACAGACCTCAAGACGATTGTTGAATTCTAGGACTCCTAAGGTCAGATTCCAAGCACAGATGGAATGTTCTGGTAGAGAGCAGCTTCTAGCGGCTCCTGCTTTGGCAGACTGATTGAAGCATTGCCCAGGAAGCTGCTTGGCAGGAGGCCTGGCTGCCGCTCTGCAGACTCTTTCCTCCTGGAACATCTGGACTGCACTCCTGTCTCACCTGTATGTTTTGACTCCCTGACCAGCTATTTACCTCCCCAAGATGCCCTGCTCCCAAGAGAGTGGCGATAACACTGGGAGTCGGGTGTGTGCTCACCTCCCAGCCTGTCCCCATCATCGATTGGGTCTCAAGTCAAACAGTCCCTGGACTTAGCCTATTTAATTTGGCTGAAGGAAAAGGACCAGCCCTCTGATGATCAAATATGGGTCACAGGGAGGCTTCTCCCCTACCACAGGCCACACAATTATTTATTTAAAAAAAATTAACTAAGGATATCCATGGGAAGCAAAAGCCTTGACAAGGGGGTCATACTAAGAGCCCAGAGCCTCTTCTTAGAGGCTAGACAGCACAGACTAGGGTGACTAGAGCTCACAGGCTTTTACCTTCCCCAAAGAACTTTATTGTGTTGTAGCCGCTGTTCTAAGCACAGATGCGTCTCCTGACTTCCCCTTTAAGATCTCTAGCTCTCCAAACTTCCCCTTTAAGATTATTGGCTGGGAGTTAGATGACAGCTTTACCACATCTCTACTGGTGGGCTATGGAGGGGGCTGTCGTCAGTGCAGCATGGAGGGGATTAGGCAGGGGGTTTGTCAGCTCTGTATCCCTTCCTCACTGATGCTCCTCTCATAGACGTGACAGTCACTGGAGTTAACTCCCGGGGGAAGGGCCAGGGATGGTCAGATACCATGTAATGGTCCATAGACCACACACCAGGAAGAGATGTTCTTATTAGAGGAAAAGAAAAGAGTCCTATCCTAGTCTTCGTCTATTTCATGAATTTGGAAGGACGCTTGAAATGGCAACGAATGAGGAACGCAAAGTGTATAGGCACCGGGCGGGAGTGGCGCACAGAGGCAGGAGGATCTCTGTGAGTTCGAGGCCAGCCTGGTCTACAAGAGCTAGTTCCAGGACAGCTAGGACTGTGACACAGAGAAACCTTGTCTCGAAAAAACAAAACAAAAAACCAAATCAAGGGCTGGAGAGATGGCTCAGTGGTTAAGAGCATTGCCTGCTCTTCCAAAGGTCCTGAGTTCAATTCCCAGCAACCACATGGTGGCTCACAACCATCTGTAAGGAGGTCTGTCGCCCTCTTCTGGCCTACAGGCATTCAGACAGAATATTGTATACATAATAAATAAATAAATATTTTAAAAAAAACCAAATCAAAATAAACAAGCAAGCAAACAAACAAACAAAAACCAACATATATAGGCTCTGGAGCTAGGTGGCCTGGGCTTAAATCCTGATTTAACCACGCCATAGCCATGTAAATTAGGGAGGTTATGTGCTTTCCCTGGGCTCCATTTCCGTACTGTTAACAATGTCCTCCGTTAGGTCCCTGGCAAAGAACGCAGTGAATTCATGGATGTACTGGTCCTCAGGTCATGCTGGGCATAGAAAAGTTGCTCCAAGTAACTTCCCCTCTACTTTTGGACCATCTTCATCCAAATATCTGTAGGATGGCCGAGGTCACCCAACTTTACTGAGCACCCGTTAATCACTTAAAAACCGTGCTGGGAAACTTCATTGAGAAGCAGACGAGCTCATCTTCCTCAATCACCATTGCTAGCTCTGGACACAGCGATAGATGACAAAGCCTCTGGGTTAACTTTGATTTACTGAAGACACCAGGTTAACTGTCACAAAAGACCCATAGGAGAAATGGCTACGGCAGATCATGGCCACATGTCCTCCATCACTAATTAGTCCTGTCCCCATCATGGACCCTATGAGCCACAGAAAGTCGATCCAACAGCCAAGGTATCTTAGTGCAATCTAGAGACCTCCCCAGGGTCCTGGATGCCACTGTTCCCTGGGCATCATGGGCCTTGGGTTATTGCTGAATTCCCAACAACCTAGGAAACAGACAGGTTTCGACTCAGCAAGACTGGCTAGAAGTGTCAAATCATGAAGATGTATATGGCTCTTCATCCAGCTGTGCCCTGAGATGTTTTTCATGTACATGTGTGCAAGCAAGTGGAAGCCAGAGGACAACCTTGAGTAACCTTGAGTATTTGCCCTCAGGTATCACTGTGTTATCTTTGTTTTGAGAAGGTCTCTCTCTCTAGCCTGGATCCCATCAGGGATGCTGGGACAGTCAGCCAGCAAACCCCAGGAATCTGGGTGTCTCTGCTTCCCCAGCACTGGGATTATAAACCTGGATCGCCATGCTCAGCTTTAGCACGGGGTCAGGGAAGGTAACTGGGGATCCAACTCAGGTCCTCATGCTTGCATGGCAAGTTCTTCATGGACCAAGTTGCCTCTCTGCTCAGAAACTTCCGATGACCCCTTGATGCTTTCTGAGGGGGGCCTTGCATCTGAGCTCTGCCTCATCTGAAATACATCATTCCTCACCGCACTCCATGCGGTCCCCTCTGGGCCTTGCCTATGCTGTTCCCTCTGTTTGGATGGTTCTTTTTCCTGTAGCATCTCTGGGAAGATGTTCATCCAAGGCTCGAGGGCAGCGGTTCTCAACCTTCCTAATGCTGCGACCCTTTAATAGATTTCTTCATGTTGGGGTGATCCCCCCAGCCATGAAATTATTTTTGTTGCTACTTCATAATTGTAATTTTGCTACTGTTATGAATCACAATGATATGCAGGATATCTGATACACGACCCTTGTGAAAAGGTCATTTGGCCTCCAAAGGGGTCATGACCCAGAACTGATGATCTAGAGATTTGACATCAGGGCAGGGCCTCCTTGTACTCCGATCTGTTTCCTTTCCTCTCCCTCTCGAAGGAAGAGATGCCGTACTCATTGTTGCTTCTCTGGGCTAGCAGAGTAGCTGGCATTGTGCCTATTTACAGAATGAAGGAACGAGACCTCAGCTGCTTTAAGGACACATGCCCCAGATCAAGGGACAAGCAGAAAGAGAAAGTAGGGTGAGTTCTGTATTGATAGTGTAAATCTGTTCCATGTCTATTGCTAGGCAATCGCTGCAAAGGCACACAAATTTCACAGCTGAGAGGCACCAGACAAATTCAGGAATTGGTACAAAGCTGAATGGGGCCACACGGAATATAATAAGCAGCCCTGTGCATGCACACACGCCCCCTTGAACAGCTGCCAGCCACCTCGGTCACTCAAGTGGCTATAAGCCACATCTATGCCCATCAGGAACCATAGATCCTCCCACCTGCGGACGGTCCTCTGTCCACCACTTCATGACAATGACCTGCAACCCTTCCGACAGCTGCTTCCTTAGACAAACTTCAGGACCCTTCCAAGCTCAAACGCCACATTTATTCTTGGACGGCATTCGTGTTCCGTTGACCATCTAGCAGCTGTAAAACTGCTGATGTTTTGATGGAAGGCTTATCTTGTTAAAATGTGTCCCCGGCGGTGTGATTTTTCCCATTCGTCCTGTAATGGTTCTTGTGCAACCTTAGCTTCGTGTGTTGTTTTTAGACACCTGTGTTGGTTTATACAGGGCCAGCCGTGCCTTGTGTGTTCAGAGGAGAGCTGTTCAGGGTGTGCCTAACTGCAGAGGTGTGTCTGAAATCTGTTTCAGGGCTCCCACCTAGAGCTTGTGGATCCCTGACTATGTAGCCCACCTCTCCAAGACCCTCAAAACACAGCAAAGATTTCGATTCTGGAAATGAACAAAGTACCAGAGAGTTCTGTCTGTCTCCCTTTATCTCCATTAAGAATTGAATCAATCAACTTTTTAGGCTTCAGGACATATAGATTTCCTTCCCCTGGTAACAGACGGTGGATTAATAAAATAATTTAAGAGAAGCACTGGGCTTGGCTGGGAGACAAAACGAACCAAAGAGCAATGTCAACCAGGAAGTCATGTCTGGAATTGCTCCTGTATCAGGAGATAGAGAGTGGGGACTCTTGGGTAATAGGGGCTCAGCTTGTCCCTCACATGGCCCTTGGCACTATAGCCTGGGGGCTCCCTCTGCTGTAAGCTGTCCCCAGCACCTGGTGGGATGCCTTCACCCTTGACACTTCGTTTTGAAGCCAGCTCCTATTCATGATAATGCAGGAATGTTCCTCCAGTTGGTGGCCCCGTGCCAGCTCGAGTGAGCGCCCCAGCCACCAACAGAGTAAACATTACTCAACTGGCCAGGGCTCTGTCACACA